ATATATATATATATATATATCTACGTGGTAAAGAAGAATCATAGAAAAAACACACCCCGTACCAATAAACAAACAAACAAAGAAAGGAAAACAGAGTTATTACATTGAAGAAGGTTAAAAAGAATAACCGAAAAGGATAAAATAATAATAATAAAAGACATAAACGGTTAAAGATCAATAAGGTTAATAACAAAAATTAAAAAAAAAAAACATACATGCATTCCAGCAATTACTGCACATACTGAACAGTAATAGGAAAGTATACGTACGCAAAAAGAAGAAAAGAAAAAAAAAGATAACATTTTTATATTACTGCCAGAAAACTATATAAAGAAAGAAAGCACTAATTAAAATCATATCGCATTTCATATTTCCAAGAGACCTTTCTCTCTCTTTCTTTCTCACTCTTTTACTGTATACATACATACATATATATATACATAGAGAGAGAGAGATAAATAAATACAGGAAACATAAGGATAATAAGTATTATCCCCATACACACATACATACATACATACATAAAAACACATCATTAGTGAAAATATATATATATATATATATATATATATTTAATATGGAAGATTACGGAATTTCTCTGCTGCTGCCACAGCCGCCGTCATTGCCCGATCTCTCATCTCTTTTATCAACCTCTTCTTTTCCTCCTCCACTTCTGCTTCTGCTGCTGCGGCCTCATCATTATTATTATTATCATTATTATTATAACCATTATTATAATAACCATTATTATTGTAATAATTATAATAATCATCATTATTGTATCCATTATATTCATTATTATTATTAACTTCATCCTCTTCAACTTCATCCTCCTCATTATACATCTCTGCCGAGACGCGGTCCATCTCCTCGTAGAGACCGTCCATTATCTCCTGCAGTTCCCTCCACACACCCCACTCCCGCTGCCGGGCAGACTCGTTTGAGTTATTTACATCCGGCACGTAAACCCGGTGAGGGGAAGAAGTGTGTGTAGAAATATCTTGCGGACGTGAAGAACGCGGTGGAGGCAGTGGAGGTTGACGAAGTCTTTCACTTTCATTATTATTATTATTATTATTATTATTATTATTATTATTATTATTATTATTATTATTATTATTGTTATCATTTAAATAGGAAGAAGAAGAAGATGATGATGAAGAAACGGCTGGGGCTTCTTTTCTGTTGTTTATATTATTATTATTATTAATAATAGTATTATTATTAGTATTATTATTATTAATAGTAGTAGTTAATGGAGTGATGGGGTTTACTCTTATAATGGGTTTAATAGGAGTTATTCGAATAATATTCGTTAATGGAGATATTGGATGAAGAGAGGAAAACTTTTTGAGAGTTTCTTCTTCTCTTTTCTCTTCCTTTTCCCATTCCTCCGCCTCTTTTCTTTCTTCTCTTTCTCTTTCCACTTCTTCTTCCCTTTCCAATTCTCTTTCTCGTATCACTTCTTCTGCTCTTTCTCTTAGTAATGCCTCTCCTCTTCTTATCACTTCTTCTTCCCATTCTTCTCTTTCTCTTATCAATTCTTCCTCTTCTTCTTCCCATTCTTCTCTTTCTCTTATCAATTCTTCTTCTTCTTCTCTTTCTCTTTCTCTTATCAATTCTCTTTCTGCTCTTTTCACTCGTTCTTCCCATTCTCTTACCAATTCTCTCGCTTCTCTCTCAATTTGTTCTTCTCTTTCCCATTTTCTTGCCAATTCTCTTTCTTCTTCTCTCTCCATTCGTTCTTCCCATTCTCTTATCATTTCTCTTGCCTCTCTTTCCACTCGTTCTTTCCATTCTAGTAGCGATTCTTTAGCTTCGTTTTCCACTTTTTCCACTTTTTCTTCCCATTCTCTTTCCACCTCTTCTTCCCATTCTTCTTTTTTTCTTTCCACTTCTTCTTCTATTTCTTCTTTTTCTCTTTCCACTTCTTCTTCTCTTTCCAATTCTCTTTCCTTCTCTTTCATTGCTGCTGTTGTTGTTGTCATCATCCTTGTTGTTCCTTTTGCATTGATGGGATCATAGTGTTTCGATCCATTTGTGGGAATTATGAAGGTCACTCCAGTCTTTGGCTTACTTACATGCGTTTGTTGTAATCCTTTTTTCTGTATTCCTTGCTGTTTTCTTTTTTGCTCTTCTTGTCGTTGTTGTTGTTGTTGTTGTTGTTGTTGTTGTTGTTGTTCTTTTCGTTGTTGAGAGAGTATTTTAAATTCCAGTGCGGCCTCCTGTGGGGTTTTTGCATTTCCCCATGCAGATTGAATGACGGCATTTGAAAGAGATCTGCGCTGTGCGTATACAGAAGATGGGGCATTATCATCACTCTTGTTATTATCTTCACTCTTCTTCTTATCTTCACTTTTGGCATTATTAACATACCTGTAGTCATTATTATTATACCTGTTGTTATTATTAACATCATATCTGTTGTTATTATTAACATCATATCTGTTGTTATTATTAACATCATACCTGTTGCTGTTATTAACATCATATCTGTTGTTATTAACATCACTGTTCTCCTTATACAGTTCCTCACCCTCAGCAGCTGCAATCATTTCGGAGAGTTCGGGTGAGACATCTTCTAATGTCCGCAGTACTGTCTCTGACCATCGTTGTTCCTCTTCTACTATCCGCACTACTGTATTATACGGCATCTCAGTATCCTCTGCTTGTATAGTATCAAATGTAGTAGTCGTCGTAGTAGTAGTGGTAGTAGTAGTAGTAGTGGTAATCGTATCACTATAAACTCTCCTGTTAATATCATTTTCTTGGGATTTAAGATATCCATCTGTACTTGGTAGAATATCTCTATCCACTGTTCTTCTTATGGTTGTGATGGTTTTGGTTGGTAAAGCTTCTGTTGATACATATTCCGCAACGTTCGCCATTATAATGGATAAATAGATAGATAAATAGATAGATACACAGATAAATAGATAGATTGGATAGCTGATAGTCTTTGTATTCCTTTTTGACCTCTTTTCTTAGTTTAATATTAGAACAGAGAGAGAGAAATAGACTGTTTAAGAAGGTACTGAACTTCACACTGTAGTTGTTTGTCTGTGTGTCTATTTGTGTATTGAATCTTTTTTTTTTATTTTATTTTTCTTTGTGTATTTGCCTTGCCTAACACCGTTAATATATATATATATATATATATATAAAGAGAGAGAAAGGAAGAGAAGAGAAGAGTCATTGTATGGAATTCAACAAAAAAAAGGAGATTTGAGAACACTGAATATCTCTGCCTTTTTTTCCCCCAATAATACATACAACAAAAGAGAAAAACCAAGAAAGATGAACAGATATACATACATATACATAAAGATGCATAACACCCTACCCATAGGGGTGGGGTCAAAAAAAGGAATATACCTTTTTCCAAACAGGTCAAAAAAAAAAGGAAAATGAAAAAAAAAACTGATTATATATATATATACATATACATATATATTAATTTATATAAAAACAAAACTGTACATCTCTATATATATATGTATATATATCAGTACGTATGTATACGTTCATGTATTTTACTTATCTTATTGCAATGTGTACCTTTAAAGAAATGTAATATAAAAGTAAACATTAGAGAAAGTCCATATAAAAAAAAAAAACAGTATCTGACTACAACACACTACTACAGACATCCAACAAACCAAAAAAGGAAATGAATGTATTCAGAAAAAACAATCAATACAATTCCCCACCCTCAGTCCTGTAAAAAAAAGGAAAAGAGAAAATAAAGCAATAAAGAAGAAGAAAAAGAAAAGCCCATAAAAAAAAAAATTCAAAGGAAGAAAAGAAAAAAAAAGAAAAAAAGAAAAAATGCCGAAAAAAAAAAAATGTCTAACAAAAATGTCAAGAAAGCTAATTAAGGAAAAATAGCTATCAAACAGAAAAGAAAAGAAAAAAAAAGTTCCATTTTCTTCTATCCTCCTCCTCTCCTCATTTACTTTTAAATTCCTTTTTTTTCTTTTCATGTTTCTCCTTCAATTAAATTCCATTCATGTGCTTTTTCTCTCTCTACTTCCAACCATCTCTCCCCCTCTCCTTCTACCCACACAAACAAACACACACACACACAAAACTATAAATATTATGAACTTCCTATCCACGATGATCGCACCGTAGCATCACCAATTTCACTATATCGAATACGAACACCACCAGCAGCACCAACAGCACCGCCGTAGCCGCCCGACAGGCGTTGTTTCTTTCTTTCTTCAATCATCTCACGAGTAAGCCACTTTGGCTTTAATACAGCAGTCTTCTCCACAGCATCAGGGATCTCTGCTGTCTCCACCGCAGCAACCTCATCCTCCGTATTCGCTACAGTTAACTCAAGGGCACGCTTAGCTTCGAGCACCTCTTCTGCAACTGCACAGACTTTTTCAAGGCAATCTCGCCGCCGCGTCAACACTCGTTCAGCCACAATATAAACAGGATGCTGCACACGAAGTCTCCTACTACTGTCCATCCTATCATTTAATGAATTTACACCAGTCTCAAT